CTCCGGGGCACGAGCTCCAAGGCGGAGAAGAAGCGCTGGCGGGCCGCGGCGTCCGTCGTCGCCGGGCGCTGCGTCAACGCGTACTCGGAGAACGACCTCATGCTCGCGATCATGTACCGGACCCAGTCCTGGAGCCGTTCAGTGGCCGGCATCGCGCCCGTGAACTTGCCGGGCGTCGAGGACGTCGACGTCTCCGACGACGTGGCTTCTCACGCGGCGTACCCGGCGCGCGTCCGCGCGCTCCTCGCGAAGATCAACCTGGACGGCGTCGTCCAGGTCGCGAGCCCCGTCGACGCGGCGGCCATGGAGAAGGAGGCCGAGGAGCGGGGGCGCGCGACCCTCGCCGCGGCGCGCGCGGCGTCGGACGGCGCGGCCTAGGGCGCGGCGGCCTAGGGAGACGTCGGAGACCCTTAGGGAGCCCCTTAGGCCTTGGCGAACGCGCCGGCCATGGCCTTCTTGCGCTCCGCGTTGTAGGCCTTGAAGGCGACCTGGAGCTGCTTGTAGGCCGTGCGGACACCCGGGTTCTGGGCATCCATGGCCAGCGCCCGCGTGATGAACTCCTTGGACGCGTCGAGGTCGTTGAGCTTGAGCGACGCCTGCGACGACCGGACGAGCGCCTTGACGTGGAGGTCCGCGTTCGGCGGCGCGTGGTCCTGCTCCTCGCGCGTCGCGCCGCCGCCGATGACCTTGGCGCTGAACTCGAGGGCCTTGCGGTGGTCGCCGAGGAGGAAGTGGCACTGGGCCATGTTGCCGCACGCGATGTGCTCGAGGCGCGTGATCGTCGCGACGTCCGCCGCGCTGTAGTCCTTCGTCGCGCTCTTGCCGCCGCCGTACTGGGCCGCCTCGCCGTTGGGCAGCCACGTGTAGGACCGGATCTTCGCGTAGCGCGTCAGCGCCTTCTTGTACTCCTTGGCCTTGAAGAGCTCCGTCGCCGCGGCCTTGAGCTCCTCGGCCTTCGCGATGAGCTCGGCGGCGCGCGCCGTGTGCTCGGCCGGGGGCGCCTCCGCCGGCGCCGGCTCGGCGGGCGCGTCCTCGGACTCGTTCGTCTCCTCCGCGAACTCGGCCATCGGAGTCTCCTGGGCGCTCTGCGAGGCGGGCTGTCGGCTTGAGCTTCGGGTGTCGCGGGCGACCTGGGCGCTCTGCGACGAGGCTCGAGCGGGCGCCGGCGCTTCGAGGCTTCGAGGTCGACAGCGGCGCGGCAAAAAGTTTGGCGAGCTGCGTCAACGCCGGCCTCCCGCGCCGAGCTGTACGCGCGTCGTTTTGCGCGCGAGTTTCGCGCGCCAACGACGTCCATGCTTGACCAGGCTTTCAAAGTTTTGCCACTTTCAAAATGGCCACCAGAGAGCAAAATTCAATTGACTTCAAATTAGACCACCGACGCGCCCATCCTAGGACCCGAAGCTGAGCTGGGCGTACTTCTTGTTGATGGCGACGGCGCAGGCGACGCAGCCCGTGAGGTCCGGGTCGTGGGCGCCGTAGTCCTTGAAGGGCACGGGCCCCGCGCCCGCGGGCGACTGCGTCGCCTCGGAGTCGCGGTGCGACGCGTTGCGCCGGATCTGGTCGCTGAGCTCGGAGACGCGCTCCGAGTACTCGACGACGCGGGTCTTGGCGACCTCGGACTCGCGGTAGAGCGCGTCCTTGACCGGCGCGTGCTCGTCGCGCTCGTTGCGGAGCGTGAGCTCGACCTGGGAGAGCCGCGCGCCCACGAGGTCCCGCTCCGCCGCGAGCTGGCGGTTCCGCTTCTCCGCGGCCGCGAGCTGGGCGCAGGCCGCGGCGTCCGACGCCATATAGCGGTCCAGGTCCTCCGTCGTCGACTCGAGCTGCCGCTTGAGCTGCGCCGCCTCGCGCTGGGCGGCGACCATGGAGTTCATGAGGCGCTTGAACTCGCCCCGGCTCGCGCCGCAGGGCGACTCCTCGGGCTCGCTGTCCTCGGCCTGGGAGTCCTCGCCGTCCCCGTCGTCGCCGAAGGCGTTGCCGAGGCCCGCAATGAAATCGGAGGCCATCGTCCCGGGGGCAGCGTTCTTTTGTATAGGGTAAAACAAATAAATTGAGCTTTAATCTGGAAGGCCGTCAACGATGATGCTCGATCGATAGCCCCCATGCTCGTCCAATCGCAGTGATTGATGCGCGTGTCGGCGTCGAGCGCGGCCTACTGCGAGCGCGACGGGCGCGACTTCGACCTGCTGGGCGAGCCGGCGAACTTCTTCAGCAACTTCTTCCAGATCGCCGCCGGCCTGCGCTATACCTACGCAGTCGCCCAACAGAAGAACCTCGACGTGAACGTCCTCGGCGGCGTCCTGTACACGGCCGTCGCCTGCGGCTCGGCGATCTGGCACTCCGTCGGCCTGGCCTGGACGCTGGTATTAGACCTGGCTATCCCGTTCGCGTTCATCGCGTGGTTCGGCTACAACTGGGGCTACCGCGTGCTGCGCATCCGGTCCGTGTGGCTGCGCTTCGGCTTCCTCTTCGTGGCACTCGGCGGCACGGGCGCCCTCGTGTCGCTCTACACGAGCCCGGCGTTCTCCGTGCACTGGGCGTGGTTCGTCGTCCTGGTCGCGGCGGCGGTCTGGCACCGGCTCATCTGCGACTGGCGGCCGAACGGCATCCTGGCGTCCGCGGGCCTCTACGGCGCGGGCCTCGCCTGCTACGCCATGGACCGCGTGCTCTGCGAGGACGAGCGGAAGGGGTACCAGATCGGCTCCCACTGGCTCTGGCACGTGTTCTCCGCGCTCGGCGGGCTGCTGCTCCTCCACAGCCTCCCGCCCGAGGACTGGAACGCGCCGGGCCACGACGTCGACCCCTGGTGCGGCTGCGTCCGGCGAAACGCCGTCCCCGGCGAGAAGGTCGCGCCCGCGGTCCGTTAGCCCCGGTTGTAGTGCGCGCGCTCGCGCTTGTCGAGGAGCGCCTTGTCGTACATGCGCGCGTCGCGGCCGCGGAGCTCGGAGCGGTTCTTGTTGAGGATGCCCTCGTCCTCGCCCTTCTGCTGCATCTGGTTCTTCGCGGACTGCGGGCAGTCGCGGGACCAGTGGCCCTTCTCGCCGCAGCGGAAGCACGTCGCCTGGGATCGCGGGATGTAGCCCTTGGTGTTGAGCGCCTTGAGGTCCGAGATGGGCACGGACTCGGCGAGCGTGCCGCCCCACTTGTCCCGGATCTTCTTCTCCTCCTTCTCCTCTTCCGTCATCAAATCGAACGGCTTCGCGTCGCTCGGCGCCTCCTTCTCCGCGCCGGGCAGCTGGCCGAGCTCCTTCCACCACGACGGGTTCTTCTCCGCGTCGTCGCCCTGCTCCAGGCTCTCGCCCGCCGCCTCCCGCCGCGCCTTCTCCGCCTCCCACGCGGCGAGGCGCTGCTTCCGCTGCTCCTCGGCCTCCGCGCGGCGGTCCTGGAGCGTCTTGAAGCCCCGCGCGCGCAGCTTGTTGATGACCCAGTCGTAGTCCTCGGCGTACATGTCCGCCTCGCCGGCGAAGCCCACGGGCCGCGAGCTCTGGTACTGCACGGGGCGCTGCGAGATGCTCGACATGGCTTCGGCAGCGTGTGGGGCGGCGCTCGCGTCGGGGTGTGGGGCGGCGCTCGGGACGGTGTCAGACGGTCCCCGCGCGTTTGGGGCGGTCGGCGCGGGGTTCGCGTCGACGGCGGCGGGCGAGGCGTGCTTGACGGCGAGTTGCTGCCGCAGAGCGAGATGGAGAGCGAAATCCGGCAATGAGCGCGTCCGTGCAGCTCGACGACGAGCGCCTGCGGCGCTTCCTGCAATGGTACGACGCGGCGGCGCCGTCCCAGCGCTGCGTCGCGCCCGCGCGCGACGCCTACGGCGGCTGGCGGCTCGTGGCGACGCGCGCCGTCGCCGCCGGCGAGGAGCTGCTGCGGTCGAGCGTGGCGTCGCAGTGCGTCGTCATGGGCCGGCACGCGGCGCACCGCCGGCTCTCGAAGGCCGGCTGCAGCGACCGCGGCGCCCTCGCCGCGTTCCTGCTCCTCCAGCGGCTCGACGCGGATTCGCCGCTCGCTCCGTGGCTCGCGATGCTTCCGGCCGCGGCGGTCGGCGCGAGCGGCGCGGACGCGGACGCGACGGGCGACGGCGACGTGCGCGCGGCGCGCGCCGCCCTGACGACCGCGGCGCGGAGCGACTTCGCCGCGGCGTCGGCGGCGTGTCGCGTCGCGGGCTTCGACGAGCGCGGCTTCGAGTGGGCGTGGAGCGTCATATCGTCGCGGGCCGTCAACGCCGGCGGCTTCAAGGCCATCGTGCCGCTCGCGGACTTTGCGAACCACGACCCGACGTCCGCCGCGGCCATCGAGCGCGTCGACGACGCCTACTACACGATAAAGGCGACGGCGGCGCTCGCCGCGGGCGACGAGGTCTTCATTAGCTACGGCCGCAAGCCCGCGAGCGACTTCCTGCTGCACTACGGCTTCGTGCCTCTCGAGCGCTTCGCGGCGGCCGGCGCGTCCGCGGGAGACGTCGCGCGAGGCGCGTGCCCGACGACGTTTCGAATCGCGCTGCCGCTGCCCGGGGACGAGCGCCGCGCGGACCTCCTCGCCTACTACGGCGTCCGCGCAGCGGCGCCGCCGGCGCTCGTGGTCTCGACGGCCGGGGGTGGCACGTCGGTGCGATTTACCCTCTGCATGCCCGGCACGGAGTACGCGGCCGACGCGGACGCGTGGGCCGTCGCGCGCGTCTCGTCGCTGCCGGACGACCGCCTGCCCGAGCCCGAGTCGTCGGACGACGACGACGGCGCCGGCGCCCTCTTCCGCCTCGAGGAGAACGCCCTCGGCGCGCCGCCCGAGGATCCGAACGACCTCTACCTCGCGCTCCTTTTTTTCCGCCGGTGCTGCATCGCCGAATGCGACGACGACGCGCCGGGGCGCGCGGGATTCCGCGGCGACGGCGGCGTCGACTGGCCCAACGTCTACGCCGCGCTGAGGGACGCCGCCACCTTCGGCGCCGTCTCTACGCTCAGTCGCGATGCCAGTGCGCTCCTACCCATGATGCGGCATGATGACCCTCACCTCGCATCTGCTTTGAATCAACGCTAACTCGCGTTAGAGCTCGTCGCTTCCGTCTCGTCGCTCGAGGACGCCGACGAGCGGGAACTTCCCGAGGAAGTACGTCGTCCGCTCGTCGAGGCGCGCGAGGTCCGCGGCGTCGAGGCCGGCGAGGTCGTCCGTGTGGTCCTCGGCGCGCGGCGTGCCGCCCCGGGCGAGCGCGCGGCCCACGCACGCTCCGGCGAACGAGCTCCGCGGCGACCCGGCGCCGTAGAGGTAGCGGCTTTTCGTGACGTCGAAGACGTAGCCGCTGATGCAGAGCCAGAGCTCGGCGTTCGAGGCGTCGTGGGCGGCGAGCTCCACGAGGGACACGGTCCGCTCCCTCGCGGCCTCGGCCGCCGCTTCCGCCGCCGCGAGCCGCGCGGCCTCGGCCGCGTCCGCCGCCGCGCGCCGCCGCGCGAGCCGAGCGGCGCGCTGCTCGGCGGTGTCGGCGATCAAGGCGCCGACCACCGGGTATTTGGTCCGGTAGTGGTCGCGCCACTTCTCGACGGCCGCCGGGTCCAGACCCGCGGCGCCGTCGTGGATGTCGTCGTCGTCGAGCGACGGCAGCGCGACGCCGCGCGTGCACGCGCGGCCCGCGAACTTGGCGTAGGCCATGCCCGGCCCGTAGAAGTGGGCGCCGGACGTCACGTCGTAGACGTCGCCGCCGTAGGCGAGGAAGATCTCCGGTCGTGTGACGCCGTCGAAGGCCTCGAGCTCGTCCTCCGTGAAGCGCTTCTCGGCGACGCAGAATGCGAGCAGCGCGTAGCACGCGATGCGGCGCAGCATTGCTCCAAATACAGGTCAGGGCACTGCTTCGTAGAAGGCTGCCATCGGGCTGCTTTTCGCTCTTCAAGAAGCACTTCACTTTGGACTGTTTTACGCACGGGGAGCGATGTCGAGGAGGGCCCAGCACGCCTCGTCGGGCGCGCCGATCTCCGGCCGCGTCGATCCTTCCGTCCGCCAGGTGCGCCACAGGTCCGCGCCGGCCCGCGTCGCGAGCTCGAGGGACATGGTCTCGGACCAGGCGTCGCCCGTCGCGCCGCCGCGGTGGAGCACCTCCGCGTCGACGAGCGCCACGGGCGCCCGCGGCGACTCGAGGTTCGCGTAGTCCGCGTTCGCCGGCCGGCCCTTGGCGAAGCGGCCCGGCGCGTACTGCGTGCCCACGTCGCCGCCGTCGACCTTCCAGAGGAGGTGCGGGAAGCTCGTCGTCGACCGCTCGCCCCGGACCCAGAGGTCGCTGTGGAGCTGCTGCGGGTCCGACCGCGGCGGCACGAGCGTCCAGCCCGCGCCCCGGATCGCCGCGCCCCGGCCGTCCTTCGCGCCCAGCAGCGCGAGCGCGACGTCCTCGGGCGGCGGAGGCGCCGCGCCGGCGTAGTGCTTCCGCGCGGCCGCGGTCACGGACACGTAGAAGCGCGGCGCCGAGAGGTCGAAGGGCGGCGCCTGGGAGATCGACGACGGCCCGGCGTAGACGGCCAGCCCTTCGACGCCCAGCGCGTCCGTCGCGGCCGCGGCCGCTTCGACGCCGAGCCGGTGACCCCGCGACGGGCAGCGCGCCAGCGCGTCGGCGACGGCCGCGCGGACGGCGCCGCCGTGGGCCGCGTACGCCGCCTCCACGAAGCGGCACGCGTCCCAGGACGCCGCGAACCCGGACGGCAGCGCGCACGCGCCCGCGGACGCGGCGATCGCGAAGGGCGTCGCCGGCTCGCCGCCGCGCAGGGGCAGCGTGCGGCCCAGGTCCGCGGCGGAGCAGCGGCCGTCCTCGTGGAGCAGGCGCCAGCCCTCGGCGGACGCGAACTGCACCGTCCGCGTCGACGACCACCGTTCGCCCGTCGGCCCGCCGCGGTGCAGCACCTCCGCGTCGATGACGATCAGCGGCGCGGCGGCGAGCGTCTCGCCGCCGTCCTCGGGCGCCTGCCAGGCCGGCGGCGCGTAGAACTCGCCGCCGAAGCGGCCGCGGACGACGCGCGTGCCGCAGTTGCCCGCGGCCTTGACGAAGACGTGGTGGTAGCGGCCCCGGTTCGCCTCGCGCTCGCCCGCGCCGTCGCCGAACTCCGTCACAATGTCCGCGTGCCACTCCTGCGGCGGCGACCGCGGCGGCACTAATGTAAAACCGAGCTCCGTGACGCGGCTCCCCTCGCGCGCGGCGTCCCACCACAGGAGCCGCGCGAGCTTGAGAGGGGGCTCCGCCGCGAACGGCGCGTCGAGCAGCGCCGCGTCGACGACGGACGCGTAGAAGCGCGGGCCCGCCCAGTCGCCCGTGGCGTCGTCGACGGACGGGTGCGTCGCCGTGACGACGACGCGGCCCCGCAGGTCCGCCGCGAGCGCGGCGTTGACGCGCTCCGCGCTGAACGCGCCGGGCCGGAAGCCCTCGTCCGCGCCCTCGGACCACCGCGGCCGCTCGGCCTCGAGCAGCGCCACGAGCGTCGCGGACCACTCCGCCTCGAGGGCGACGAGGAGCGCGTAGGGGCCCCAGTCGCCGAGGTAGTCCGCCGACGCGCTCGCCTTCCTGCAGAGCACGAGGCCGTCGCGGTGCAGGCGCCGGTGCTTGCGCTCGCCGGGCATCGCTGCTGCACGAGGTGTGCGACGACGTGTGCGACGATGTGTTGCAGCGCGAGCGGCGACGATGCGTTCTGTGCAGACGATGTGTTGCTGTGCAGACGATGAGTGTGCGTGAGCGGCGACGATGTGCAGGCTAGGGGACCTGCAGCATCGCTGGACTGATCGATGATCGCGGCGCTGAGTTCACCGTGCAGTAGCCTTGCGGTCAATATGAAGTCGACTCCCTCAACGTGGCTGGCGCACCCTTAAAAACACGCGCGGGCGCGGCCGCCTTGTGCGCGGCGCTCTCCGAGCACCGCGACGACACAAAAACTGCACAGGTGTTCACTTGATCTGGACGGACTCGAGGCGCGCGGCGAGGTGCTGCTCGTGCGCCGGCGGGCGCCGCGCCGCGGCGAGGAGGTCGTGGATGGCGCCTACGAGAGAGATTTGAGCGTCACATGGCGCGTGGTCTTTCCCCGGCGCGCACCTTCGAGGGGGTCCCAGTCCTGGTGCTCCTTCTCCATGGCCGCTTCGACGAGACGGTAGGACCGGATCAGCGCGTCGAGGTCCGCGAGCTCCTGGGGCTGCGCGTCCGCGCGTTGCGCGTCGATGCGCCGTCTGAGCTGGAGCTTGCACGCGTCGAGCGCCGATCGCGCCGCGCGCGCGCGCGTCGCGCGCTCGGCGCCGCGCGCCGCGTCGGCCGCGCCGCGGCCGAGGGCGACGCCGTCGCGGCCCGCCGCCTGCGACGCGCGTGGGGTCCTCGACGCGCGGGACGCGGCGCGGACGCGGGCGGGACGCACGTCCGCGGTGTGGGGCCACGTCACGGGCGGCAGCCGCAAGTGGCCTTCCGGCTGCGAGGGCTGCCCCGGATCCGGGACGCGGTCGAAGGCTGCCGCGGGCAGCGGCCGCCGCGCCTCGGGAGACGCGCGCCACTTCGACGGCTGGACGGGCTCGAAATTGCACAGCGACGTGCCAAACATGACACCACTGTTGCAGCGGAGAACGCGCACTCCCACACGAAAATGAATTAAACGTTGTTCTTTGGGATGGCTCTCCGATTGCATCGTTAACCCCAAGGTTAACTTGCACTTCAATAGGGCCAGTTGAAGACCTCACGGCTTATGCGCGCTCGATCGAGGTCGGAACGACGCCGAGCAATGCAGCACGCCATCGCCGCGCTGCTCCTGCTCGCCGGTGGCGCGTCAGCCTTTGTCTGCGCGCCGAGTCAACTCGCGCCTCGCGCCTCGCCGACGGCGCCGTCCGTGCAAATGGCCCTCTTCAAGCTTATCATCGCGGCGCTCGCGCTGGGCGCGCAGGGCTTCGCCCCCAAGTCGTTCCCGCGCACGTCTACGGTCGTCTTTCAGTCGTTTGAGGAGTACATGGCGTCGCTTGGCATGGCGGCGGCCCCTGCGGCTCCTCCGGCGGCAGTCGCTCCCCCGCCGGCGCCCGCGGCTCCGCCCGCGGCTCCTCCTGCCGCCGCGGCGCCTCCTGCCGCCGCGGCTCCTCGGTTGCCTCGGAGACTGGCGGGTCCGCCGTCGCGATCCGCCAACGAGTTCGACGACTGGTGGAACAAGAAGCGCGCGATCCAGCGGCAAAACGCCGCCGCCGCCGCGCGGAACGAGACGATCACCGCGCCGCCGCGGCTCGTCGAGCAGATTCGCCTGGACGTGGAGAACGTCACCGTCGTCCTCAGGGAGTTTTGCGGCTCGGACTACGCTCGCATGGCATGCAACACCGCGCGGGTCCCGCCGAGCGAGTGGGGCCGCATCGACGCGATGTTTCAGAGCGTCGTGCTCACAGACGCGAAGCTCGTCGTGCACCTCTGCCGGGAATTCGACGAGCGCAACACGGTGCTGCTGGACCGCTGCGCGCAATACCTGCGCGCGCGGTTGCCGCAGCTCAAGGAGTTCCACGGGCTGCACCGCGACGGGTTGGACATCTACTAAGCTTAACCGGACTTCTCCTCGGCCGCGCCCGCGGCCTCGCCGAGTTTCGTCGCGCCGAGGACGTGGGCCCAGCGCGCGGCGCAGGCGGCGTCGTCGTAGTCGCGCGCGCGGTCCTTGCACCGCTTGCGCATGGCCGCGTAGAGCGCCGCGTCGCTCCGGAGCGCGGCGACGGCGTCGGCGACGTCGTCCGCGTCGTCGACCTCGAAGTAGTCGAGCGACGAGTCGCGGAGCGCCGCAAAGGCCGGCGCGTCGGCGGCGAGCGCCGGGACGCCCGCGCGCCACGCGTCGAGGAGCGGCGCCGACGACCCGCCGCCGAAGCAGAGCACGAGGTCGACGCCCTCGTAGGCGCCGGCCCAGTCCGCCGCGTGCGACAGGTCGAGGCGCGCGAGGTCGACGCCCGCGGCGGCGTAGGCCGGCGCGAGGTCGTCGTCGTCGGGGAGGCGGCTGCGGCACCCGGCGCAGAGCACGTGGGCGACGGCGCCGCCGCGCGCCTCGTCGCGCGGCCGGAAGCCCGGCGGCGCGAACGCCGGGAGCTCCGCGTCCGAGGCCGCGAGCGCCTCGAGCCCCGCGACGCCGACGCGCCGCGCCGCGGCCTCCGTCGCCACCGTCACGAAGGCCCGGGGCGTCGCCCGCCGGAGCCGGCCCAAATCCGCCGCGTCGGAGAACGCGGCCACGGCGACGTGGTCCGCGACGGCCTCCGACGCGAGCGCGACGTCGTAGCCGCTCCGGAGCAGGCCGTAGTAGGCCGTCAGCAGGGCGTGGGCGTTCTCGAGGTAGGCGTAGGACGCCTCGTCCTGGAGCAGGGGCGCGAGCGGGTGCACGAAGATGATCGTGGCCTCGCCGACGTCGAAGGCGTCGTCGGGCGCGCCCGCCTCGATGTCCCCGCGGTCGAACGCCAGCGCGCCGCCCTCCTCGTAGGCGTAGAGCGCGAAGCGCTGGCCGAAGGCGTCGAAGGCCTCGTAGGCGCGGAAGAAGAAGCCGTCGCCGCGGTCCGCGAACGCGCGCTTCGCCGCGGCCGCGGCCGCGCGCGACCCGAGCGCCTCGGCCTCTTCGGCCGTGAGCGCGCCGGCCTTGACGGCCTCGCGGACGACGGATAGGTCGGCGTCCGAGACGGCGCTGCGGGCGTCCCGGTCCCGGAGCGTCGCGAGCGTTTCCGCGGCCGCGGCGCCGAGCGCCGCCGCGGCCTCCTCCTTCCTCGCGATGTTCGCCGCGAGCGCGGCCTCGGCCTCGGCGGCTTTGGCGACGCGCGCGCTCGTCGCCGCGACGGCGCCGGCCTCGACGGGCGCCGGCGCGCAGGTCGTCGCCGAGATCCAGCCGGCGAGGGGGCTCGTGAGCTGCACGCGCTCCTTGCCGTCGCTCGTGCGCGCGCGCGCCCGGAGCGCGACGACGACGTCGCCGCGCGCCAGCGTGCCGACCTTGGCGCTGTCCATGGCCGTGCCCGCGCGCACGACGCTGCCCCGGCCCGCGATGACGAGGTGCTCCGTGGAGGGCATATTCTCCTCGGCCATCTCCGACTCGACCATCGTAATTCGCGCTTTAATAAGCAGCCCAGTTGTTGAAGCTGATAATAAACGTATGAGCGCGATGGCTCAGCCCTCCTTTGATTAAACGCCATCATGCGCAATGGCGGCGCATCCGCGACGGCCCGGCCGGCGCGGCGCGTCGGCTTCAAGGCGGCCCTCGCCGTGCTCGGCGCGCTCGCGGCCATCGTCTGCTTCAACGTCGCCGTCGAGCAGCCGGCGGCGCTGACGCCCGAGGTGCGCACGAGCAAGGAGCCCCCCACGCCCGCGGTGCTCGTCGAGGCGCCCGTGATCCCCGCGGCGTCGGCGGCGGAGCTGCGCGAGACGCCCCTCGTCTTCTGCGTGCACTCGCGCGCCGGCGACGCGGCGGCGCAAAAGGCCGCCGCGGACGTCGCGCGGTTCCTGAAAAAGGCCGCGCCGCATTCCGTCGTCGAGCTCTGGCGGCCGTCGTTCACGACGACGCGCCACGGCAAGTTCGTCGACGAGGGCCTCGTCCCGCGGGCGCTGCCGGAGGCCGCGGCGACGCCTTTGGCCGCGCAGCTCGCGGCCGTCGCGGTCGCGGCCGCGGACCGCGACCGGGCCGGCGACGTCTACGTCGTCGACGGCGACCGCTTCACGAGCGACGCGGCGCGGCCGTTTACGGTCTCGTCCATCCTCGACGGGTGCCGCCGCTCGGCGCCGGGCGGCGCGCGGCTGCTGCCCTGGTACGACGACCGCGCGGACGCGGCCTGGTGGACGTCGGACCTCGGCTTGTTCGCGCTGTGCGGCGGCGCGGCGGCGCCGGGCGCGGCCGCGTGGCTTGAAACCGTGGCGGCGGTGCTGCGCGAGGGCGACGGCGCGCTCGCGGCGGCGCCGAAGTCGAAGCGCGCGGCGCTCGCGCGCGTCTACGGGGCCGTCGCGCCGCGCGAGGCGTGGTGGCGCCGCGCGCGCGATGTGCGCGCGGCGGACGCCGCGGACCTGGGCGCGCCGCTGGAGCCCGCGGAGCTCGGCCTCGTCGACGGGCTGCCCGCGGCGCCGACGACCAAGGGGCCGGCCGTGGGGCCCGTGCCGCGCTTCGTCGAGCACCGCGACGGCCGGCTCCGGGACCCGCGGACCTGGGCGACCCTCAACGCGAAGATCGTCAAGGACGCCGACGAGTTCCGAGAGACGTGCCCCGCGGCGCCGCGGCGGAGGCCGAGCCGCCACGGCGTCGTCGTCGTCTCCGGCGCGGACGCGCGCCTGCCCTTCGACGTCGCCCACGGGTCGCCGCCGCTCCGACAAATCCCGCCGAAGAAGCCGACGACGGGCGAGCGCGACGACCTGGTGAGCCAGCTCGCGGGCCACAAGCTCGCGTGGGCGCGGCACCACGGCTACGGCTTCGAGTTCTTCGTCACGAACGCGCTCGCGCCGGCGATCCACGCGACGGGCCTGCGCCACTTCGAGTACGCCAAGCCCTTCGCGCTCGTGGCCGCGGCCCACGGCCGCGCGGCCCGGGGCCTCGCGCGGAGTCGCGGCGGCAGCGCGAGGGACCGCGCGGCGGCGGGCGACTGGCTCGCGTGGCTCGACCACGACTGCTGGCCCCACCACGCCCACGGCTACGACGAGGCCGTGGGCGGCCTCGACGCGTACCTCGACGCGGTGCCCCCGGGGGCCTCGGTGGCCATCGGCAACTTCCGGTCGCTGAACACGGGCGTCGTCTTCGGCCGCCTCGACGCGCCCGGCCGGGCCTGGCTCCTGGACTGGTTGTTGGCCGTCGTCGGCGAGCTCGCCCAGTGCCAGCCCTACGACCAGGCGGCGCTGCAGCTGCTCTTATTCGCGCGGCTCAACGGCACGCACGTGCTCGACGCGGCGAAGCCGCCGCCCTTCGGCTACACGTGCGCGCGGCCGGCCTGCGGCGGCACGATAGAAAAACCCTTCGGCATGTGCAACCCGAACTACGCGACGTCCGTCCACGAGCTCCTGTCGTCGCGGGGCTTGTGCCCGGACGCGGACAGGGGCTGCCACGAGCACGTCGACCGCGCGCGCGCGAACGCCGTCGTCAACGGCGCGGGCTTCCACGTCCTCAAGGAGGCGCCGGGCCGGCCACGGGTCCAGTGCTTCAACTCCCAGCGCCTCGACGGCTGCCGGACCCAGCCGGGCGCGAACTTTGCGCGGAGCGACGACGAGGACGACGGCCGGTGGCTCATCAACCACAAGGGCATGAACCTGTTCCTCGAGTCGCGGGCCCGCGGCGCGAACGCGTCGGCCGCCGACTGCCGGGGGCTCGTCGTCGCCGCGAAGGGGTCTAAGGAGAGGTGGTAGGAGGGCTAGGTGAAGGGAAGGTGAAGATTTTGTTCGCAGCCTTGCGCATGCAGCGATAGCTCGACCAGCGTCTGCAAACGATGCCGCTGCGGGGCACGCAGCGTAAGAAGCGCCGCGAGAAGGCACGGCGCGGCCTCGACCGCTCGACGGGCGTGCGCGACGGCCCGCGCCGCGAGTTCAGCGCCAGCACGGGCGCGTCGTGGGAGCTGGAGGACGCCGCGGCGCCGGTCGCCGCGCCGGCGGCGGGCGACAACCGCAAGGCGCGGCGGGAGGAGAAGAAGCGCGAGCGCGAGGAGCTCCAGGAGGAGCGCCGCCGGCGCAAGAAGGCGAAGCGCCGCGGCGAGCACGAGCCCGCGGCGGCGGCGCCCGACGCGGCGGCGAGCGCGCCCGCGGCGGCCGCGGAGGCGCCCGAGGCGCCGGCCGTGCGCGTGATCGGCGGCGGCATCAAAATCGAGGACACGCGCGTCGGCACGGGCGCCGCGGCCAAGCACTCGTCGCATCTCGAGATCGCCTACGAGGCGTGGGTGCTCCGCGACGACGGCACCGTGCGCGGCGGCGGCGCCATCGACAAGGCGACGGCGAAGGAGCCCTACCTCTTCGTCTGCGGGAGCTCCGAGGTCGTCAAGGGCCTGTCCCTCGGCATCAAGGGCATGCGCGCCGGCGGCAAGCGGACCATCACCGTGCCGTGGAAGTTCGGCTACGGCGCCAAGGGCAGCCTGCCCAGTGTCCCGCCCAAGGCCGACCTGCGCTTCGACGTGGAGCTGCTGGAGGTCGGCGCGGGCTTCGCGGTGTAACGGCTGTGTTTGTGGGAGCGCTGGTGCGCGGGCGCGTCTAGCGTTTGGCCGGGGGTTGGCGCCGTGAACCGAGGCTGTTGATCTCGAGGGCATGGCGCCCGCGTCTTTGCGTAGCCGCGCGCGCGTTTTCTCGAGAGTTACAACACATCTTCGCTGTGATCGCGCGCGAGAGGACCGCATACCGCCCCCAGCCGCGCGCGCCGCCGAAATTCGTCTTCGCGTCGACATAGAAACCGCAAGACCTACGACGCAAAAAAAGCGCCGTTTGCCCCCCGCAGACCATGGCCGAGGTCGCCGCGCCCGTCGACGCCGCCACGATGCCGCCCCCGCCCCCCGTCGTGGGCACGACGCGCCCCCTCGACGCCGTCGAGGACCCCGAGGCGCGGAAACGACGACGCCGGGAGAAGCTCGGCGGCGTCGACCTGTCCAACTACACGGTCGAGGGTTTCCTGACGCTGTCGCGGGACAACCTCGTCGCGGAGCTGGACACGCTGACGGGGAAGCTGGTCCAGGACCTCCACGAGGAGTGCGCCAAGGCCAAGGAGAGCCTGCGGGCCGAGTTCGCGCCGGGCGCGGCGAAGACGGGCCCGCGGAAGGTCGTCATGGAGGCGACGAGCGGCCCGCACGCGGGCATCACGTACACGCTGACGGTCGGGACCGCGGCCTGCTTCGTCGGGCGGTCCTCGGGGAAGAAGTTCCGCGAGAAGGGCATCAGCCTCTCCAAGGACAACGAGGTCTCGACGACGCACGCGAAGATCGAGCTGCAGCGCGACGAGGTCGTGCTCGTCGACGTCGGCAGCACGAACGGCACGACGCTCGACGGCGAGTCCATCGAGGAGGCGAAGCCCTACCCGCTCAAGGCCGGGAGCAACGTCATCTTCGGCGGCTCGGCGTTCACGGTGCACTCCATCGACGCGCTGAACTGAGGGGCCAGCGAGGGCGCAGCACAGTTCGCGCGCCGCGCTTGACCGCCGTAACGGCACAGCAAAAGAAAGATGCGTAGTCTGCGGTTGGGCAGCCGTGTGAGCTCCACCGCCTCGATGAAGTTGGTGTTGACGAGAAGATGACGGACTCGGCGCGGCCGCCGGACCTGCGGCATGAGTCTCGAGCAGCCAGGCCCCAAGCCACCGCAGCGTGAAGACATGCTCGACGCAAACTCTCAGCAGTCGCGCGCGGCCTTGTCCGATGACATGCGGCCCGTGGATTTGTGTTCGCGCTACGCTCGTCACCTCGTGACGCGGCCTCGGCAGGACCTTCCCTGGAGCCCAGGTGAGCTAGGGCGCGCGCCGCTGTTGGGCCCCATCGACGAGGACGGTGCCGAGTGTGTAATCAGTGGTGCCGCGCTCGCGCTCCAGCCAGCCAAGATCCGGGAGCAGCATCTCTATCACAGCGGACGCGCGCCGCCGCCAGCGCCCGTCGCGCTCCCGGACGAGATCCTACGCTCCGTCTTCGACGCGCTGGTGCCCGTCGCGACCTGGCGCCCTGTGGAGGAAGAAGTGCCGAATGGGTGGTGGCTTGATCACAAGCTGCTGAGAAAGGTGCTCCGGTTTTCTTGGATCGAGGCGTTCGCCTGGTGACCCGGCCGTGTGGAAATTCGACCACTGACCTAATTGGGGCGTCGCGAAGCGACCTTGATCCGTTTATTTCCACATAGGTCATCAGCGATCGACGCCATCGTTTCAACCCGGCCGCTGGCGGAGGTCTCGAAATCCTGGCGTGACGCGCTTCGGAAAACGACGAAGCTGTGCTGCGAGCGGCTCGCTCATTACAAACGCGAAAGGACCAAAAGCCGCGGGCGCATCCACGATTGTCAAATTCTGTTCCACAGCAATTTCCCAGAGCACGTCGGATCGAATTCGGATTCGGACACGGAAGAAGGACCGTGATACCGCGCGGGGCTGCGCCGATCGTGCGGCGCGCACGTCACTAGAAAGGCGCGCGCGATAAGTGCAATTACCCAACCCGCTGAGCTCCCTAGTCGACGAGCGTGACGACGAGGACGGACGTCGCGACCGTGAGGAGGAGCGTCAGGCCCGAGCCGACGCGGAGGAAGTCGGAGAACTCGTAGTAGTGCTGCACGAGGAGGTTCGTCTGGTAGGAGAAGGGCGTGAGGAAGGACGACGACGAGCCGATGACGAGCACGTTCACGAGCTGCTTCATGGACACCAAATCCTGCGTGCCCGCGACCTCCTTGAGGATCGGGTACAAGAGGATGACCACGGCCTGGTTCGACATGATGGACCCTAACAGGGCGATGACGAGGTAGACCAGCGCCAGCAGCCCCGACGCGCCGAGGCGCTGGCCGAGGTCGCAGATGCGGTGCGCGAGCGTCGACGCGACGCCCGTGTTCCCCAGCGCCGCGCCGACGCCGTAGGCCGCGACGATGGCCACGAGGTCCCGGCCCTTGATGGCCGCGAAGGCCTGCTCGATCGTGAGGCACTGCGTGAACACGAGGAGGCCCGTCGCCAGGAGGCTCGCTTCTAGGAGCGTGAGCTCGTTGAACGAAAACGCGGCGATCATCGCGAGCATGACCGCGAGCGCGAGCCAGCAGCGGAAGCTGTCGTAGGACCGCGACGCGCGCGGCGGCGCCGAGTCGGGGACGACGCGCGCGAGCGAGAAGTCCGCCGCGCGGGCCGCGAGGATCTCGGGCCGCGCCTCCAGGAGCGCGAGGCTCCCCGGCCGGAGCGCGGCGTCGCCCGCGCGCGCGGCGACGAGCGCGGCGCCGTACTCGCGGCTCGCGACGAGGGCCGCGTCGCCGTCGTCGTCGGTGCCCGCGCCGACGAGGGGGCACCCCGGCGCGAGCGCGACCTCGAGCAGCCGCCGGTGGCGCCGTCCCGGCGTCGCGACCCGGAGCCGCGCGGCGTCGCCCGTCGTCGGCGCCAGGCGCACGCCGCGCACGCGCCGGAGCGCCGCGAGGCCGTCGCCGTCGCAGGCGACGACGAGCACGTCGCCCGCGGCGAGCCGGCGGTTTTTCGGGAGCTCGCCCGCCTCCTCGTCGCCGCCCTCCTTGCGCTCCTCCGCCGCGCTCGCGTTCGACGCCGACGACGACCGGCGCAGCGACTTGCGCCGGAGCACGGACGGCACGGGCTCGCCGCTCCAGGGCCGGAGCTTGAGCACCGCCGCGCCCGGCGTGCGCACGAGCGACGTCTGCTCGAGCGGCTCGCCGACGAGGCCGCCGCCCGCGGCCGCGTCGTCGACCTCGACCTCGACGACGTAGGGGAACTCCCGCGGCGCCGGCGCGTCGTCGTCCAGCAGCGGCGCCGCGAGCTTGCCGCCGCGGCCGACGGCGTCGCCGTCCTTCGGCGGCAGGAGCGAGCGCATCGCGAAGGCCATGTAGAGGGTCCCGATGGCCGCCACGGGCACGGCGACGACGGAGCAGGAGAAGAGCTCGAGGGGTGCCAGGGCCGCGGCGTCGTCTTTGTAGTCCTTCTTGATCAGGTCGTTGAGCACGAGGTTCGTCGACGTCCCGAGGAGCGTGCACATGCCGCCGAGCAGCGCGCCGAACGCCACGGGCAGCATGAGCCGCCGCGGGTGGACGTCGATGCGCGCCGCCCAGGTCTCGACGACGGGAATCAACACGATGACGCAAAAGATGTCGTTCATGAACGCGCTGAGCACGACGAGCGGCGCCATGACCCTCACGACGGCGACGGGCACGCTCCGCGGGCTCCCGAGCGCCGCCCGGAGCACGAGCTCCATGGTCCCCGCCTCCTGCAGGCCCTTGGCCACGGCGAAGAGCACGCCGATGGAAATGATGTCCGGCGAGCCGAAGCCCTGCCACGCCTCGCTCGACGAGATCACGCCGCCGACGCGGAGCAGGCCCGTGCAGGCGAGCAAGGTCACGTCCGGCGGCGCCCCGTGGCGCGCCATCAATAACACGGCGACGCCGATCATGAAGATCGTGCTCCAGCCCGCGAAGGTGATGGGCGTCGGGCTCAGCTGCCCCAGCAGGCAGAGCCCGAGCAGCGCGACCAAAATGCCCACGTCGACGACGCTCACGCGGCAATTGTCCAGCGTGCGCCGCGTGCTCCGCACGAAGCTCTCGTCGTGCTGCTCGAAGACCGACGACGCGACGCTGTCGCTGCGCTCGCGGCCGCCGGGGCTGGGTGCGGTCATCGTGATGCTCTGGAATACAAGACCGGCGATGGCGCGCAAGATTCGTTTGCACACCTTGCAGCATGCGCACCTGCTGGCAGGCCCGGGGCGCATTAAAAGACGCTCGGGGCGCGGTTTCCCGAAGGGCAGAGCGCGGGGAGGCGCGGCTCATGCCCCGAGGGCGGGCGCCGCCGTCCGCGTCGCGTTCGTTTTTCGGAAGAAGGTCCTCCCCGCGGTCTTCCGCGTGGACCGGATCTTGGCGATGTCGTCGGCCATCTTGTTCGCCTCGGCCTCGATGGTCGCCTTCTCGCCGGGGATCTTCGAGATCTCCTTGAGGAGCTGCTTCGAGTCCTGGGCGAAGTGGGTCTTGGCCTGCTCCGTGGGCACCATGAGCGCGGCGCCGTGGGCCTCGAGCGCGCACTCCTCCTTCGTCTCCGTCTCCACGGCGCCGTCGCCGCCCGCGGCGACGTTGAACTTGGACTCCTGGAGCTCGACGAAGTCCTTGAGGTGCTTCCGCGCGAGCATCGCGATGACCTCGCCCTTGGCCCGCGAGAAGACGGCGCCGCTCACGTCCTTGGCCTCCATGGACGTCATGAACGTCGTCCGCGTCTTCTCCGAGAGGCCCACCTCCGGCGCGCCGTCCTTGACGAAGGTCTCGTAGATCTGCTGCACGAAGGGGAACCGCTCCGCGACCGCGGCGTCGCGTTTGTCCGCAGGCGGCGGATCGTAGCCGAACTTGTGCGTGTACTCGAAGATCTACGAAAAGAGAGAGGTTCACATAAAAAAAGAATGCGATACAAAGGAGCACGCACCGCGAGGTAGAACTGGACGGGGGGCGAGCTCTCCTGCTTCATCATGAACTGCGAAAAGTCCTCGAGCTCCGCGGGATGCTCCAAAATCTTCTGCTGCATGTCGACCATCTCGTCGTTGGTCCAGTCGATCTTCGCCAGGCTCGGCCGCCGCACGCGCTTCGACGCCTCGTTCTGCTGGAGCGTCTGCCGCCGCTGCCGCGTCCGCTCGGCGTCGCTGAGCGGCGGCGGCGCGGGCTCCGGCGGCGCGGCGTCCTTGCGCTTCGTCGCCGCGCCGCCCATGGCGCTCGGCGCGGGGGGCGCCCGGCGGCCCGGGCGCGCGGCCGCGCGCGGGACACGCTCAAAAGAGGTCGAATCTCAACCCCGAAAGCAACCTCACGACGCTGCCATGCGGGCGCGCCGCGCGCCGACGGCGCGCGAGAGGACGTGTGGCCCCGACGGCGAGGCGCCGACCGACGAGGGGAGCCGCGGCGAGAGACGCGCCACCCGCCGCGCAGGCCGTGGGTGGCGGCAGCGGCCGTGGGCTCCTGGCAGCCTCCGACACGACTGTTTTTGCGTAACCCCGCACGTAGATACGTGAAGCCGATGCTTGCGTTTCGAATTCCCTCCCTAGGGCAGCCCCGGGATGTCCGCGGCCGGCGCCGCGCGCCGCTTGGGCTTGCGCGCGGCCGCGACGGCGGCGCGCGACTTGGGCGGCGCGGCGCAGCGCCAGACGCCGGCGAAGAACGCGTCGTCGCCGACGAGGTAGGTCGTCCGCTCGACGAGCTCGAAGCCCGCGGCCTTGAGGTTCGCGTCGTAGTCCGCGAAGGGCCGGCGCTCGTGGTGCGCGCCCTCGACGAGCGTCGGCTCGAGGCGCTCGGAAAAGTCCGAGTCCGCGAGCACGAGCAGCCCCGTGGCGGGCTCGAGCACCCGGCGGAGGCCCGCGTAGACGGCGCCGTGGTCCGCCCACGGCACCTGCGTGCAAATCAAATCTTCAACTCGACTTCAATGTGAGCGTGTTCGAACGGTTTTGACACCAGTACTTCCGCTGCGCTTCGAGAACTCGACGAGAGCAATCGATCCGTCCAAAAATCAGCCGAATCGACTTCGATTTGACCGAGCTAGAGAATTTCAAAGTTTGGTCGGGACGTCCCGAACCGGCGGTTGATTTGCACACAGCACGGCACGTAGCTCATGGCCACGTTCAGCAGGCAGGCGTCGAAGCCGCCGATGCCGCGCTTGAGCGCGCCGTAGTCGCCGGCGACGAGCTCGAAGCGCTGCACGCGGACGCGGCTCAGCGCGCCGGCGGCGCGGACGCGGTCGCGCGTCAGCGAACACATGCGCTCCGCGCCGTCCGTCGCCAGCACGAGGACGTGCTCCCCCGCCGCCGCCAGCGCTGCGGCGTCGACGCCCGCGCCGCAGCCGAGCTCGAGGAAGCGCAGCGTCGAGGACCCGCGCGCGGGCGCGGCGCGCGCGAGCGCGAGGTTCCGCGGCGTCGCCATGGTCGCGAGCGACGCGTCGATGGCGTCGTCGAGCTGGGCCATGCGCCGCACCTCCGTGAGCAAGCGGTCGATCTCGTCCGCGTGCGCGTCGAAGTGCGCGACGGTGCTCGCGACGAGCTCCCTGCTCGAGAGCTTCTTCGTCGGCGTCGGCAGCGGCGGCGGGTCGGGCGCGGCGACGGCGCGCGTCGGCGCCGGTCGCGGCGCCGGGGGCGGCGCGGCGCCGTGCGCCGACGCGGGGATGGGCACGGGCTTGTCCGTCGCGTACGACGCCGCGGCGGCGAGCGCGGCCGCGAGCTGCGCGCTCGTTTTCGGCGCCGGGGCCGCCGGCGGCGGCGCGCGCGGCGGCGACGTCGGCGTCGGCGCGGGTGCTGGCGGAACCGGCGCCGCCGCGACCGCGGCGCAGCGCACGAAGAACGTGCCGCCCGTCACGGTCTCCGTGTCCCTAATCTCGGGGTCGAGGCTGCAGGCTGCGGGGTCGAGTGGTGCGTCCGCCGGGCATTTCTTCGCGTGCTGCTTGCAAAACGTGGCCAGAAGCTTCTTCGCGGTCACGGCCTTGCCCTTGGTCGCGAGCTTGAGCGTGAACGACGACGCGTCGCCGCGGTCCAAGCACAAGAGGACCTCGTCCATCGGAGATGAGCCGGGCTGCAACGTCTGGGCAGCTTGCCGGAATCGCTAACATATTTGCCACTGAGCTCGAGCCCGCGCGTGCTGCCCGCCACCGACGCCGTCATGGCCTGCCACCGCGGCGTCGCGCTCATCACGGGCGGCTGCGGCGGCCTGGGCCTCGCCTTCGCGAAGCGCTGGCTCGAGGTCGGCGGCAAGCGCGTGCGCCTCGTGGACATGGTCAGCGCGTCCGCCGGCGCGGCCGCCGCCGGCACCTTCGAGGCCGCCTACGGCCGCGGGTCGGCGGAGTTCGTGAGCTGCGACGTCACGGACGCCGCCCAGCTCAGGGCCGCCTTCGACGTCGACGGACTCGGCTTGGTCGTCAACAACGCGGGCGTCGTCAACTATAGCCCCGACACCTTCGACCGCTGGGACGCGCAGGTCGCCGTGAACCTCGGCGGCGTCATCGACGGCACGCGCCTCGCCCTCGAGGCCTTCGGGAAGCAGCGCGGGCCAAACGGCTTCGCCGACGGCGAGTCGCGCGTCGTCGTCAACGTCGGCTCCATGGCGGGTCTCATCGCGACGCCGTCCATGGCCGTCTACACGGCGACGAAGTTCGGCGTCGTCGGCTTCTCGCGCGCCATGCACGTCGAGGCCCGGCGCCAGGGCGTCCGCGTCCACGCGCTGTGCCCGTCGTTCACGGACACGGGCATGGTCAACGAGGACGTCATGGCGAAGGACCCGCTGTCGAAGAAGACCGTGGCCATGTTCGGCGGGCTCATGACGCCGGAGCACGTCACCGACGCCCTCTTCGACAAGGTCGTCGACGAGCCCAACGCCGAGGCCGTCCTGCGGATCACGCCCCTCGAGGGCGTCGCCTTCGACGACCCGAGCCCCCACCCGGCGGAGGTCGCCATCCGCAACGCGTTCATCAAGAGCAACCCGCTCAAGTTCCTCAAGCGGGCCCTCCTCCCGCGCAAGAAGCGGCCCGACTAACCCGCACTGCAAGCTTCAACAAAGCTGTCTGCTTGAATCGCGTCGGGGGCTGCCCGGCCACGAATCTCGACGATGGCCGCGCTTGCGGACATGTTCGACAGTATCTGCCTCTGCGGCACGCGCGAGGTCGACGAGGAGCTCGGTAAGGTCGAGCCGGACAAGTTCATGATGGTGTCCATGACCTTCAGCGTCGGCGACGACTTCGACGGGTGGTTCGGCGCCTTCGAGGCGCTCGAGAAGCGGGGCTTCCACGGCGACCTGGGCGTCGTCAAGAGCTACTGCGGCCGCTACGAGGAGAGCGCCGGGCGCATCTTCAAGAAGATCGAGACCTACGCGCACTGCGTCCACGTCTTCCGCGCCGAGCGCTACGACGACGTGAAGAAGGCGCTCGACGGGTCCACGGCGCCGTACGGCGAGCCGCTGGAGCAGGTCTACAGCAATGTCGTCTCGGACCTCGACGCCAAGGGCCTGGACCACGCCGACGTCCTCGTCACCATGCACCACGGCGTGCCCGACTTCGTGCGGTGGCTCGAGGCGTACGTCGCCGACGAGAAGGCGGGCGCGTTCGACGGCGTCGACGCGGCCAAGACCATCATCGGCGAGGTCATGCCGGGCTGCGCCGGGGCGCACCTCGTCTACCTCCTGCCGAAGGCGTCGGAGGGGAACCTGGCCCTCGACTTCGACGCCGAGCCCTACGTCGGCGGCGACGACCTCATCAGGGCGGGCAAGGTGCTCCGGCCCCTCGGGTCCTGCAAGTCCGAGCTCGTCTTTAAGCAAGAAGTTTGATCGGTCTGTCGGTGTTTGAGGAGGTTGATGGCTGCCCGTCGGAGCAGTTCTATAGTATGACTCGACCTTAGCGCGGCGGGCGCGCGAATTCGCCCAGGCCCCTGAGCGTCGCCTCCTCCTTCGCGTTCTTCGCGTTCTTCGCGACCCGCGCGGCGACGGCGGCGACGGAGCCCCGCGCCGCGGGCGGCCGCACGCCGGCGTACTTCGCCGGCGCGACGAGCGCCCGGTGGTGGTCCACGAAGAACTCGGCGCAGGTTCGGACCGCGGCGGCGTCGCCGAGGCTCGGCGCCGCGACGCCGCAGGCCGCCGCGACGTCGGCGTTGAGCGCGGCGACGTCCGCGACGATTCGGTCGACGAGGCCCGCGTCGTCGAGCGCGCCGTCGTCGAGGAACCCCAAAGGCAGCGGCGCGAAGAGCCGGTCGTGGAGCGCGTCGTCGAGGCGCGAGGGGTCGACGCCGTCGCGGCCGCCCGCCCTCGCGATGGCCACCGCGCGCAGCGTCGCGTAGCACAGCCCGTAAAAGTACGTGTCGAGGCCCAGCGTCACGTGGCAGCTCACGGCGTCGCAGGCCTCCGTCGACGTCGCGTGCGGGAAGCCGATGGGCACGTAGAGGACGTCTCCCGGCTCGAGCCACGCGTCGAGGAGCGGCTCGTCGAGCTCCGCCGGCGCGATGGCGTCGCCGTGCTTGCCGCGGCCGAAGGGGTCGACGCCGCGCCGCCTCGCCGGCGGCCGCCAGACGCGCCAGCGCTTGCGGCCGGCCGTCTGGAAGACGAGCACGTCCTGCGCGTCCGTGTGCGGCGACACAGAGACCTCGCGGCCGGGGTCCGTGAGGTAGACGTTCGCGTTGCAGGGCAGGCCCAGCGTCGCCTGCGCGCGCGCCGCGAGCGCCGCGAGCTTCGGGTAGTCGAGGCCCGCGCCGTTGAAGAAGACCGTGCCCCGGCGCAGCGCGGCCTCGAGCGCCGCGCGGTCCGCGGGCGCCGCGTACTCGCTGACCCAGTTGCCCCGCGCCGCCGCGTCGCCGAGCGCGACGCACGCGCGCTCCAGCAGGCCGCCCTCGGCGCCGGCGACGGCGTCGTCGAAGCAAAACAGGTCCGCGGCGCCGGACACGCTCTGCCACAGCGTCGGCGCGCGCCGCCAGACGGACGCGAGCGCTTCCTCCTCGGACAGCGCCGCGAAGAAGTCGTCGACGGACGGCGCCTTCGATGCCCGCAGCGTCGCCGCCGACGACGCGCCGAGGTTTTTGGCCGTCGATGCGCAACGAACGGCGACGAGCAGCGATGTCGCCACGAGTCGCAGCGATGCTGCGCTCATTGTTCTTTTCGCAGGGATCAGGAGGCGATGATCAGGAGCGCTTGAAGGCTCTGATGATCATGCCGAAGTCGGAGCCATGGCGCCTACCAGAGATGACGGTGTTCAACTTGAAGTCAAGAACCGTCGCCCGCGTTAATATTTACCCGCCCGGCAGCCCCTCGAGCCGCGCCGCGACGCGGCGCACGGCGGCGGCGAGGTCGGCGACGGCGACGGAGAGGCCCGGCCCCGGGTTGAGGGACTCGGCCGCGAGCCACGTGCCGTTCGCGGCGCGGAAGAGGTCGAGGTGCCAGTCGCAGCACTGGCCCTCGGGCCCGCCCGTCGGGCAGCCGCGGCAGCCGTCGGGGGACTCGGTGTCGTGGGGCCGCTTGATGGTGACGAAGCCGCTGCGCGGCCGCGCGAGGAGCGCGAGGTCGAGCGCGCCGCCGTCGACGGCGACGACGACCGACGCCGAGTCGACGAGGTCCATCTGCTCGCGGAGCGGCCGGTGGTCGAGGACGGCGACGTCGCCGCCGAGGGCCGCCGCGAGGGCCTCGGCGCGCGGCAGCACGCGCGAGTGGAGGCGCTGGACGATCAACACGGGCCGCGTCCGCGGCGCGCCGTCGCCGCGGCCCATGAGCCTGCGCCCCGCGGCCGCGAAGCTCCGGTGCAACGGCGCGAAGACCGCCGGCTCGGTGCGCCAGGCGTTCCAGTCGAGGCCGCGGAAGCCGACGAGGGCCCGCCGCACGCGGCAGAGCGACCCGCGCGGGCAGACCTTCGTCTCGAGCTCGTGGCGGTAGAGCGGCCGCCGCTCGGGCCCCGCGACGGCCTCGAGCCACGCGTCCGCGTCGTAGGCCGGCCGCGCGTCCGTGAGCAGGAGCCGCGCTTTTCCGGCCTCCCAGCCCACGAGGGTCGCGGCCCAGTGGATGGCCAGGCCAAAGGCCGTGAGCACGTGGCCTGGGTGCGCGGCGTCGTCGCCGTAGCGCTCGTAGAGGACGACGTCGCCGACGGCCGCGTCGCGCGCCGCGACGCCCAGGCCCGCGAGGTCGTCGACGGCGGCCCGCGAGAGAGGCTGCGGCGCAAAGTCGGCCGCGCCGGCGTCGCTCGACGCCGCGAGGGCCGGGAGCCACGGCTCGCCCGACGCGTCGTCGCGGAGCGCGTACCAGGCGCCGTTGAGCAGGTAGAGGTCCTCGATCACGCACGTCGTCGGCGCGCCGGCGCCCGTCGGCGACCCGCAGGCGCCGACGCGCGTCTCCGGGAGGGCGTCCAGCGCCGCCGGGGGCCGCCGCGCGGCGAGCGCCGCGGCCGCGAAGGCCGCCGCGGCCGGGTCGTGCCACTCGTGGTCCGCCAGCGCCGCGACGGCGTCTTCCGCCGCCTCGAGCGCCGCGACCGCCGCGTCGTGGCGCCGCCGCTCCGCGGCCGCGGGGCAGCCGCCGCCGCACGGCGGCGGCGGCGGCGGCGCGGCCTCGCGGAGCCGCGCGGCGACGACGCCGACGCAGCCGCCCAGGGCCGCGCCGGGCGCGCTGATGCGCGCGCACTCCGCCGCCGCCAGCGCGTCGACGTCGTCGCGCGCGTCGAACCAGAGGCGGCCGAAGCGGTGCTCGAACGCGCCCGTGTCCACGGACACCTCCTGCGACGCGCAGCCGTCCGTCGTCAGCAGCAGCTCCATGCGGTAGGGCGCGACGTCGCCGGCGAGCGTGAAGCGGTAGCGGCCCGCGAAGCCGGCCACGACCTGCGCCTCGACGTGCGCGAGGCCGCAGGCCGCCGCGAAGCGCCTCGCCTCGGCGACGTAGGACTCGCCGGCGTCGACGGAGACCTTGAGGATCGACGCGTCGCGCTCGTGGTCGTCGATCCAGCTCGCGGCGGCGCCCAGCGCGAGCGACGCGATCGCGGCGAGGCGGCGCATGGCCGCTAGCGCGCGGGCTGCCCCATCGCGATCATTATCGCAGGCGGCAAAATTGCCCCTTCAACGAGCGCAGCAACCAAACGAGTTTACGCCGTATCCGCCACGGTCAGCAGGTGGTAGTTCGCCTTGGCGAAGAGGAAGAGGGACGCGGAGGACACGGCGGCGTAGCCGGCGAGGTTGAGCCAGGACGCGAGGCCGAGCAACGCCGCCGCGCACCGCCGGAACGCGGACGGCGCCGCGCAGTCGACCTGCGCCAACAACCCCGCGAGCGGCGAGAAGTGGGCGACGACGGCGGCGCCGGCGCCGACGTAGTAGGCGTAGAGCCGCAGGTAGAAGCGGACGTGGTCGCGCGGCCCCGTCCAGATCCGCGAGACCATGACCGAGAACGCCGGCGACGCGAAGAGGTGGACGAGCGAGCACTGGACCGCGAGCCAAGCCGCAAAGGCCGCGCGGCGCCCCGCGCCGGCGGCGGACGCCCCGCAGGTCCGGGCGACGCGGCCCGCCGCGCGCGCCTCGAGGCGCGTCGCGACCGCGAAGCAGAAAAAAAAGTGCGCGGCGACGCGCGCGGCCCGCGCGGCGACGCGGTGGCGGTCGCGCCAGAGGCACGCGCCGAGCTCGCGCGGGCCCGCCGGGTGCCGGAGCCCCGGCGCGAGGCCGCGGCCGCAGCGCGCGCAGGCGCCGACGTCGCGGCCCGCGGCGCCCGCGGCGCCGGCGACGACGGGCAGCCCCGCGCGCCTTTCGAGGCACCGCCGGTGCGCGGCGCCGTCGGCGCCGCACGCCGCGCACGGCGCGAGCACGAACTCGTTGGGCCCCTGGGCGTCGTCGACGTCGCCGCAGATGCCGCAGCGCAGCACGGGCGCGCCCCGGTCGTGCAGGAAGCAGGCGAACTTCCAGCCCAGCGCGCGCGCGCCGTCGTCGGCGACGGCCGCGGGCGGCGCGCGGCTGAAGGAGCCCCGGCGCGCGGCGCGCGACCGGCCGCGGGAGAAGGCGAAGGCGAGCATGGCCTCGAGGCGGTCGTAGCAGTCGCCGAGCGCCGCGAGGGGCGACGCCGCGGGCGCGGCCACGGCCGCGCGCGCGGCCGCGGCCGCGCGCGGCGCGCCGCGCCGCGCGAAGAGCCGGCGCCACCGCGCGGGCTTCGCGTAGACGGAGCACCAGGTCTGCCGCTTCGCCGTCGCGGCGAGCGTCGCGAGGTCCGGCGCGCGCAGGTGCGCCTCGACGAGGAGCCAGACCTCCTCGGGCACGGACCGCGCCGACAGGCGGCCGCCGTCGCGGCCGCCGTCCTCGCGGTCGAGCACGAGCGCGAGGCGCCTGCGCCAGTCGGGCTTCGGCGCCTTCCGCGGGCTCGCCGGCTTGCTTTCCCGGTGTTTGGGCGCACCGGACGCCTCGCTGAGGAGGAGCGCGAGGCCCTGGAGCCCGACGCCGCCGAGGCCGAGGAGAGCGTGCGGCGACGGCGACCCGGACGCGTCCCCGAAGAACTCGCGCGAGATCGCGCCGCGGCCGCGGCCCAGCGAATAGCGCAACAGCGCCGCCAGGGACGCGAGCACGGCGAAGCTCCAGGCCGCGAGCGCCACGAGCCGCAGCGCGACGAAGCGGCCCCCGCCGCGGTCGCCGCGCTCGAGGCGGAACTGCAGGGGCGCGGCCGCGAACGTCGCGGCGCACGCGCAGGCCGCCAGCGCCGGCGACAGCTGGCCCTCGAGGGACTCGGCCGTGGCCAATAAACCGACGCCCAGCGCCGACGCCAGCGGCGCCGCCAGGACGCCGAGGAATTCGACGGCCGCGCGCCGCCGCCGCCGCCGCCGCGCGAGGCCGCCGTCGAGCGCGAGGTCGTCGCCTAGACGTAGATCACCCGGGTCCGGATCGTCGTCGTCGTCCGCCGGCTCCTCGCGCGGGTCGATGTCCAGGCCCAGGCTACTCGCCGCGTCCGCGCCGAGAGCCGCGACGGCCGCGTCCAAGAGCGCGCGCGCGGGCGCGGACGCCGCGGCCTGCCGCAGGCGCCACAGCTCCTCGCAGGCGGCCCGCGCCGCCGCCGCGCGCGCGGGCGCGCCGCCGGCGCCGTCGTCGGCGAAGAGCTTCGCCGCGTCGCAGGAGACTCCCCACGCGCGGCGGCAGCGCTCGACGTCCGCGGAGTCGCCGCCCGTCGCCTCCGGGAACGCCGTCTCCTGCGCCTCGAAGAGGGGCACGGACGCGACGATGATGCCGGAGGAAATGACGGCGAGGGGCGCGAGGGCGACCATGAGCGGCCGGGGCGCCGCGTCGTTCAAACACAACACGACGATCGTCGCGAGCACGGACACCGAATACAGCATCCAGCCGCAGGCCTGCGTGATGACGAACTTGGGCCCGCCGACGCCGACCATGAAGACGCCGTAGCCCCGCCGCGCGCGCGCGCCGCCGACGTGGGCCAGCGGCGCGGCGCCGTGCGCGAGGAACGTCGCCATGACGTACGCGGGCGCCTTCTCGCCCGCGTAGCGCGGCGCGTAGATGCCCAGGGCGAAGCCGACGACGGAGCACGCGAGAAATAACAAAGCCGCGAGCCGCTCCGGCGACGCGCGCGGAGACGGCGGCGCCCGCGCGCGGCTCGCGGGCTTGTCCGCCTCGAAGTGGTCGAGCGACGCCACGAGGACGACGTTCGCCGCCGCGCCGGCGACGCCCAGGGCCAGGGGGAAGCCGGCGATGCGCCCCGCCGCGCCCGGGCCCACGGCCAGCAGCACGTCGGAGACGACGCCGCAGAGCGTCCACGCGAGCGCCTGCAGGAGCACGAAGCGGCTCCCGCCGTCGAAGGGCATCCAGGGCCGGTAGCCCCCCACGGCCAGCGGCCCGTGGACGCCGTGCGTCACCAACGCGCCGATGCCGAGGCAGCCGGCGCCCGACGCGATGAGCGACGGCGCGGACGCCTCCAGCGCCGCGAGCAGCGCGGCCGCGAGAGGGCTCGGCCGGTCCGCGAGGCCCGCGCGCGCGAGCGCGTCGCCCGCGCCGCACAGGACGACGCCGCTCAGCGCCAGGAGGAGCGCCAGGGCCGTCAGGGTGCCGCGGCGCGCGCTGCGGCGCCGCGGCGCGCCCGCGGGCCTCCGCGGCGCGGCGACGTAGAGCCGGAGCGACAGGTTCAGCGACGCGCACGCGAAGCTCCCTAAACACCCGACGGCGAAGGCCGCGCCGCGCGGCGCCGCCGGCGCGTTCGCCGCCATGACGACGATGGCGAAGAGCGAGCACGCGTAGAGCATCCAGCCGAGCGCCTGGACCGTGACGAAGCCGCCGCCGCCCTCGAACGGCTGGAGCGCGCGCCACCCGGGGTGCGCGTAGTAGCCCGCGACGACGGTCAGCACGCCCGCCCAGGCCGTGGCTAATGCCATAGCCGCCTCCTCGAGCCGCACCTCCTCGACCAAACGGGCCCGGCCGTGGAGCTCCAGGTCCAGGGCCAGGGCCATGACCAGCGCCGTGAGGCCGGCGCTGAGCGCGCGGATCTCGAGCGCCTCGCGCGGCCGCCGCGCGTCGGCCTCGCCGATGGCCGCCTCCGGCTTGCGCGGCGGCGTGGCATTGTTGCCCGCCGAAGGTGGCTCATTGTTGCCCGCCGAAGGCGGCTCAGGCAGATCCACCATCGTGTCGAGGCCCCAGCAGCATTCTCATTGGTCGAGCCGCGCGCCGCAGGCCTCGGCCCGCGGAGCCGTGTCGTACGCTCCGCCGTCGAGCCGTTATCGAGCGCCTCCTGAGCGCTTCGCTTCAATACCACAGATTTAAAATGACCTATTTTCCCCGGCGGCCGGCGTCACGCAGCCTTCTTCGCGTCGTCGCCGGCGCCCAGCACCTTCTTGACGAAGCCCCGGTGGATGGACCGGAACCAGAACCCGGAGAGGAAGAAGAGGAACATGAAGGTCGCCGGGTAGGCGTATTTGTGGGCGCCGAGGACCGTGTCCCAGGACTTCGCCGGGTCCCGCCGCGCGTCCGCGACGTAGAGGGCCGTGATGGCCGGGAAGAGCACGAGGCGGAAGGGGATGTAGCAGGCCCAGAGCGAGACGCCGTTGAAGATCGTGAACCACTCGGGCCACCACTCCTTGGCGTGGGGGTGCTTGGAGAAGAGGACGCCCTGGAGGAAGATCGTCGACACCTCCGAGAGGCCCGCGGCGCAGCCGAAGAAGTGGCAGCGGCCGTCCGTGAGCGCGACGCCGTAGGCGACGATGGAGATGACGTGGTGCGCAAGCATCTGGAAGAGCTTCGCGCCGAGCTCCGTCGTGCCGACCTCGACGAAGCAGCCGCAGACCTGCGCCGCGACGTAGAGCCGGAAGAAGACGTAGGATTCCTCCGTCGTGCCCGTCCAGCGCGTCTCCAGGTCCACGTGGAGCTCGCGCACGGCCGCGAAGGCGTGGTAGAGCAGCAGGAACACAAAGGGGTACCACCAGAGGAGGTGCGTGTAGGCCAGCCGCTCCGGCGTGCCCCGCTTCGTGAGCCCGAAATGGATGGCGAGTAGCGAGATGGCGATGTAGACGCAGTAGGCGCCGACGGCCGACCGCTCCGCGGCCGGGTCTCGCGGCGCGTCGAGCATGAATAAGGTCCGCGAGAAAAATAGACAAACGCCAGAGGAGAGTCAACGAACATGATGCCGCCAAAGTTGCACACACTTGCCTTTTCCGATGCTATGGCTCGGCGCCCGCCCTGCGCGCGCCCCGGGCGGCGGGCCCCGGGCCCCGGTCGCGGTTGCCGCGGCCCCGGCGCGGTGTCCGCGGCCTGCGGTGCGCGCGGGGCAGCCCTCGTCGGCCCGTCGGCGGCGGCGGCGCGGGCCGGGCTGCCACACGGTGGCGGGTGCCGGGGCGAGGACTTCGGCGTCACTGCGGCGGCGCGCGGATGCTCCGACACCCTTTCCGGCGTCTGCGGCGGTCGGGTTCGCGCGTGGGGGCGCGGGCGGCCCGGACGCCGCGGACTTTTTTTTGGGAATTTTAACGAATGCTCGCACCTGCTCAGGCGTGGCACCCTGGTTGGCTGGCGCCGGTGCGGCTTTGCTCTCTTCCCGCGGACCGATGCGGCGCTCGGGACGACGTGGCACTCTGACTGGCCGGCGCTGTTGGCTCTCGAAGACCTCCGGGCGGCCTTTGGCCCGCGGATTTTTTCTTTTCTTTTTTTTCTACGGGCCGGTGCGACACTCGGACAACACCAGGGTTTTTCAGCATGATTCTCATCATCACATGCTTTTTCCCCTAGTCCTCCGGAAGCGGCCCTCCAGAGCTGGAGCAAGGTCTTCCCGGGGGGTGCGGTGGCCTCGTCTTCCCAGCCTCGTGTCAAAGGACAAGGCTGTAGTCGACAAAGGGGCGGTGTCAATCCGGTTCCGCATCGTCGACGAGCTCCTGCCCAAGAGCACGATGCCGCCAGACGGCGGTCCCAGGTCGCGGACCGAGGTCCCGGCTGCGTACGGACCCCTGAAGCGGTGATCCCCTCTGGGTGGCGGCGAACCGAGAAGGCCGCTCAAGTGAAAGGCGGGCGCCGGGGGGAACGTGGTTCTCTGACCCTGACGGCGGCGTCGGCGCGGTGTCTAGAAACCTCGTGCGTTCTGGCCGTGTCCGGCGCCAATGCTGGATGGAAAACCGGACCCGCCCTGAGTATGGCATGTCCGCGCGGGCCGCGAAGCGAGTCCACGGACTGCGAGTGAGCCCCCGCGCGCCTGGCCCCTCGGAGCTAGATGCCAGCCCGGCCGCCCGTGGCGGTCGCGGCTAGGCTTGGAGTCCCAGTGCCGCAAGGCCTGGTGCCGCAAACCCCCCGGGTAGGCCCTCTAGCTGTTAACCTCTCCTAGCCTAGCACACCAGAAGCATGGTCTTCCCGAAGCCCGGGCTGCTCCTCCTCGTCGTCCCGCTGGCCCAGGCCCTCGACAATGGCGTCGGCCTCACGCCGCCCATGGGGTTCAACGACTACCAGACGGGCCTCGGCGTCGCGGACCTCGAGGCCGTCGCCGACGCCTTCGAGTCCCTGGGCCTGCGCGCCGCGGGCTACGCGTTCATCAACAGCGACGCCGGCTGGCAGAGCGGGCGCAACGCCACGAGCGGCGCGCCGACGCCAAACATGGCGTCGCTCGCCGCGGCGCTCGGCGCCCGGGGCTTCGGCCTCGGCCTCTACAGCGCGCTGAGTTCGGTGCAGTGCGGCGGCGACCCCGGCGGCCTCTACCACGAGGCCGTCGACGCGGCGGCCTACGCGGCGTGGAACGTGTCCTACGTCAAGTACGACAACTGCGCCGAGTACGCCCTCGAGCCCACGGCGCGGGTCCTGCCCATGCGCCGCGCGCTCAACGCGACGGGCCGGCGCGTCGTCTTCTCGACGGAGCCCTTCGACCTCGCGCCGAATCTGCGCGCGCACCTGGCGAACCTCTGGCGCACGACGACGGACGTCGCCGCGGACGCGGGCAAGGTCTACGTCAATATCGATTTGAACGACAAGTGGGCCGAGTTCGCGGGGCCGGGCGGCTTCAACGACCCGGACATGCTCCAGGTCGGCAAGCTCGGGGGCAACGGCGGCGACGACGACGTGTCCAACTTTGTGCTCTGGGCCGTCGCCAAGGCGCCGCTCCTGCTGAGCGTCAACGTCTCGACCCTAGCTCCGCGGCTCCTCGCGCTCGCGAAGAACGCGAAGATTCTCGCCGTCAACCAGGACGCGCTCGGCGTCCAGGGCCGCAAGGTCGCCGTCGATGGCGCCGCGACGCTCCTCGACGTCGGCGTCGAGCCCTGCGCCGCGCCCGACGCCTTCGGCGACGACCCGGCGTCCGTCGCGGAGGTCGCCGCTTCGAAGCAGACCTTCGACGTCGTCCCGTCGGGCGGCGCGAGCCTCCTGCGGAGCGGCTTCTACGCCGGCCGCTGCCTCGCGCTCGCCGCGCCCGTGCCCGTCGCCTACGCGCCGCCGCGGACGACGAAGCCGGCGTGGTCCGCCCCGCTTCGCGCCGCGCTCGCGCCGTGCGACGCGGACGACGCGGCGCAGCGCTGGACCTTCTCGACGCCCGCGGCCGTCGCCTACGGCGGCGACGCGCCCGCGGCGTCGCTCTTCTCCCTCGCGACCAACGGGTCCCTGCTGACGCTGCTGCCCGAGACGGACGCCGCGCGCGCCGTGAACCACGTCGGCGGCGGCCCGCCGGCCTACGGCGCCGCGGGCGCCGCGGAGCCCTGCGAGTCACCCCGCGTCCCGCGGCCGATGTTCGAGAGACGTCGGGTGGGAAACATCGTGAACGACGTTCTTCGTAGGCAAGGCGCGGAACTGCGACGCCTACGCGCCGTCCCAGCTCTGGGCCTACGACCCGGACACGCGGCAGATCGTCTCGGGGAATTTCACCGCGTCCATCAACGCCGAGTGGCTCACGGCCAAGGCCCCGGGCCCGGGCCGCCGCTGCCTCGCCGCGATCCACTCCGCGGACATGGCGGGCGCGGCGACGGGCGACACGGAGGCCTGGGCCGGGCCCCTCGCGGGCGGCGCCTTCGCCGTCGTCCTGCACAACCGCCGCGGGCCGGACAACGCGACCGCGGCGCTGCCGCTCGCGCTTTTGAACGAGACGCGGCGGTTCTGGTCCTACGCGTCGCTGCCGTCGTTCCGCCGCCTCGGCTACGCGTCCCGCGTGCCGCCCATGCCCGCGGCCGCCGCGGCCTACGTCGCGTCGGACCTCGAGACGGGCGAGGTCCTCGGCCCGCTGCGCCTCGCGGAGTCGCTCGCCGCGCCCGTGGCGAAGGGCAGCGCGCGCGTCTTCCGCCTCGCGCCCCAGTAACATACATGCGTCGAGGACCGTCGTGCGGACGCGGCTAAGCGAAGTTTAAAACCCGTTGAGGACCGTCGTGCGGAAGCGGAGGCGCTTCGCGGGCTCGAGCGTGGCCTTGACCTTGGACTTCGTCGCCTTGAGCGTGTGGAGGAGCGCGACGAGGTTCTCCGACGACGTGACCTTCTTCCGCGGCGACGACGCCGGCGCCCTGGGCGCGGTCGGCGCGTCGAGGAGCGCCGCGTCCGCGTAGTAGGACAGGCCCGTGACGACGAGGCGCGCGTGGCACCAGATGAGGTGCTCCCCGACGACGCAGATCAGCGAGAGCCAGTCCGGGCAGGCGTCGACGGGGAGGAGCATGCCCGCGGCGATGAAGGGCGCCGAGAGCAGCTCGCAGGCGCCGGCGGCCTTGCGGAGCCGCGCGGCCCCGGGCGCCTTCGCGAGGCCGAGGCGCTCGCGGTCGCCGTCGACGAAGAGCGACCGCGCGCCCTGCGTGATGAGCCAGGACCCGCCGTAGACGCCGCCGAGCACGCTGTGGATCGCCGGGAAGTTGCGGATGTCGTAGACGAGGCAGAGCGACATGGACGCCCAGCCGAAGCAGAGGCAGCCCGCGGACGCGGCCCAGACCGCCGCGGCGCGCCGCGCCGCCGGCGACCGGTCCGCGCGCTCGGCCAGCACGCGCCAGAGCAGCCGCAGCTCGATGACGAAGTGGATGGCGATGTACAGGTTCCACCAGACGCCGGCGATCGCCGCGGCCGTCGGGTGCGTCACGAAATCGCTCATCATCATGTTCGGCCATCTCTGGTCGTCCCAGGCGATGCAGCAGGCGACGACGTTCGCCGCTGTGCAGCCCACGCAGGCCAGCACGAGACCCGCGCGGTAGAACATGGCGTGCAACGCTCCACCGGTCGGGCGCGGTGACGGTCTTCCTTTGCTGAATTCTTCGTGCGTGCCGCTTCTCGGCATGAAGAAAGTACGTGCCGGCAAGGCTGCCCCGATCAAATATCAAAAGGTCAATGTAAGACGTTTCACCCGACTGCCCTCCGTGATGCGCACCATGCAGGCCCCTGCCAAGGGTCGTGGGCTATCCCAGGCGCAGCCCTCGAGAAGCGCCTCGACGCCCGCACCGCCGGCGCGCACCCCCCGCGGAGACCATGGGCACGTGCGCGAGTT